CCCGGCCTCGATGAATTGTGATAAAAATGTCAAACAATTAGATTACACTGGCCCACGGTGCAGCATGATTGAGTGGCGAGGCAGGGCACGTCCCCTGAATCACCCGGACGCAGGCGGACGCTGCACGGGGAGGCAGATCCCCCCGGGTCCCCCCACCTTTGCAGCAGGCACCAGGTCTCAGCAGTCCCGGGCAGGAAACCGAGGCTGGGGCCTGGGGGACAGGGGTGGCGGTGGGAGAGGCGATGCGGAGGGAGGCAGGAACCGGCAGCCCCTGAGGACAAGACCCCCAGAGGCGCATCAGCAGGTTCTCCCAGGGTCTGCAGATCCCCAGGGGCTGCTTCCCCCGGAGAGGCCGCCCCAGGGTGCGGGGTCCGGGCCCTGTGCCCCCCACCACGGGCCGCAAGCCCGGACGGTCTGCAGCAGCGCCGTTGAGCGCCTGGTGGGCCTGCCCTTCCCCAGAGCAGCCCTGCCTGCTTCTTCGTCTGTTTAAGGGTGAAGACGTGTTGAAAATTGATTTCTGTTGGAAATGGGATAATTAAACTGGTTGTTTCTATCTCCATCATCGTCATAATAAAATGAGGGGACAGCAGGGTTGTGCGTGGCATGAAGTAATATTGTCCGTCTTAATGCAAGGGAGCATTAATTGAATACGAATGGCCTTCCCTGAAGTCGCTCGGTTATATTTCAGAGATATGGGATAATGATGCCAGTTAATCATTTTTACAAGATAGAAAATTACTGGCTCCTCTGGGAAGATCATTAAGGAAAACAATTGTTCGCAGCAATTGAAAATAGAGTTTTAATTATTTAATATAGAAATTAAACTATTGGCGACTGGTGCTGGATGATGGAACTTAATAGAAATTTATACACAAGCGTCTGCGAACGTTTTAGCTTTATTAACCCACCTAACTTCTTAATCTGGATCCATCAGGGGAGGCCTGCTTCAGCCGAGACTGAATTCACTGCTGGCGCAGAAGGGCCTGGCAGACGGGCGCCCGCTGGGACCCCACACTCGCCATCCAGGGAACACCGGCTGGGAGCCGCAGGGAGGGACCCAGGAGCCCAGAGCACCTGCGCCAGGAGGTATGGACACTGGCCGGGACGCGTGGAGGCCAGGGTCTCCCGCTCGGCAGAGGTGATGGGGTGTGTGATGGCCACATGACAGAGGATGGACCTTGGGTGTGGCCGGGTGACGCTGTTCCACAGGGATTGAGGCATGAACGTGAAGTGTTGAGTTGGTCACGTGAATGTAACCCCCAAGGCGGTCCTGCCCACAGTGAGGTGCTGACCCCAGCTGGCCTGGCTCCAGAGCCCACATGACCTGGGCCCCCAGCCCACTCATCCTCAGGCCCATCTCCCCAGGGAAGGGGGGGACCCTAGACTGCCTTGCCCCCATCTGCAGGGGCCCGCCCTCTATGCCCAGAGGACCCTTGGTCCCGGCACAGTGGGCTTCTATGTGGGCAAGACCGATGACACAGGAGGTGGGCTGAGTGCAGGAACGTGGGCAGAGAAACCCAGAAATCCATCAAAACACCGTGTGGGCTGGGAGTACTTTCTTCCCTTTGTTTTTATTCTCCATATTTCCTACAATAAAACATATAGTTAAAAAAAAAAAGTCCTCGTTTTAAAAATATGGAAATCACGGGGCACCTGGGTGGCTCAGTCGGTTGAGCATGGGACTCGGTTTCAGCTCAGGTCATGATCTCGGGGTCCTGAGATCCAGCCCCGCCTCTGGCTCTGTGCTCAGAGGGGAGTTTGCTGGGGATTCTCTCTCCCTCTGCCCCTCCACCACCTCTCTAAAATAAATGTCTTTAAAAAATATGGAAATCACTATTTTCAAGACATAAATTAATAAAACAGATGGAACTTTTTAAACGTTGACTGACAAGCAAGCACAGAACACGTTGGAGTTTGCAAGTTGTTGCAAGTGAGGGGCTGGGCCTGGACACGCAGGGTCTGGGAGAAGCAGGACGGGGGTCAGGCCCTTCCTGGTCCCCTTCAGGCCCCAGCCCTGGGCGGCTAAGGCCACGGCTCCCGAGTGACAGGCTCAAGGTCAGGAAGCCTGGCTAGAGCCAAGGGCTTCCTCTGCCGTCACACACACGCGGTCACCCGGTGCGGGGAGGGTGGTCTCCTGGAGCCCTGGGGCCCTCACGACATTGAGAACGTGCAGATCTGGTCACGCTTCCTCCCAGGGCTACCCACCATTCCAATTACATTCTGTCTGTTATTACCAATAAATTCCAAGTGATCTTTTTTCTCCTTATAGTTTTTAGGGTTACATAAATTCCACCTATGCAATTTTTTCATGCTTGAATATATTATGGAATGCCACTTCCGTTACAGAAGCTAATTGATAATGTGATTTGTCATGTTGCTGGGGCATAATTCAGAAAGTTATTTCAAAGCCTCCGATACACGGACTAGCACTCACGTTTCATATTTCTCACACGAGTAGACACAGTATAAGGTAAAAAATGTGAGGCTGCACAGATGAAATATTTCCAGAGGCTTTTATTCTTGTTGTTTGGGTGGGTGCCAACATCTTTCTAGAAGGAAGCTCATATATCCATGGCTGCTCTGATTTGAATTTATTCCTTGATCATTAGTTAGCTCTTTTTTTTTTTAACTCGAAGAAGAATGTGTATATGTTTGACAAAAGGATAAAAATTGAACAAAAAGAAGGGCATCACCACCTTTCGATGTTATCACAGATGAGCTGCTTTTAAACTTTCTATGTTGAACTAATTATAGACCTGCGAGAAGTTGCACAAAGAGTACTGATGATGCACCCTTCACGCAGCTTCCCGGCGGCGGCATCCAAAACCAGAAACCAGGGAACTGCGTGGGCACAGTGCCGTTTCGCCACGTTCACAGGGCGCGTGCACCCGTGTGCGCAGCTCTGTGCAAGGGTTTCCCACGCGTGATCCCTGGCCTGTGGCCACGGGGGCTCCCCCCTGCACCCCCAGGCTGTGCCCGAGACACCAGCGTGCTCTCCCTCTCTGGTGTTGTCGTATTCAGAATTGTGACAGGAATGACATCACACGGCATGTGACCTTGCTGGTCGCGGCTCCTGCACGCGGTGTCACACCCCCGACGCCCTTCCAGGGATCCGTGGTTCACGGTTCTCCTTGTGGCGTCCCACTGGCACGTGGACCAGAGATTGTGCCACCGTCCCCGGCGAAGGACACTGCTTGTTTCTAGCGCTCGCTCTGATGGAACGGCCGCGGCAGACACGCACCGGCTTCCCTGGGATGTTTGGCTGGGAGCGCAGGGCCCGGTCACATGCTGGTCACAGGCAGACCTCGTAAGGACCGGTCCAACCGTCTCCCTGAGGGCCGCGCCATTTCCCAGTCCCAGCCATGACGTATGGGGGGCCTAGGTGCTCCCCACGTTCCCTGGCACACGGTGTTGGCACTGATGTCTACGGTAGGGTTTTAGTAGGTACGCTGTGATACCTCATCGCAGTCCTATTTCGTGCTCTCTTCCTATTTGGCCTGGCCTGTGCTCGACCTAGCAAGTCCCGGGGCGGGTCCGTCTGACCCAGGGCAGGGAGGCTGCGGTGAGGGCTTCCCGCCCGCGTCCCAGACACAAGATCAGGACGAAACACCACCATCCACAACCCCCCCCCCCAGGGGAACAAAGCCTCGCGGACGTGTACTGTCTCCCACCCGCTTAGCTCCCGGTTCTCACAGCCCAGAGATGACCAGCGGCCGCTTGGCCTGAGGCCTGGCACCCTCTGGCCTGTGGGTGTCTGTCTCTGGCTCCCAGGGGGCCCCAGAGCCAGTGCTCAGAGGCCAGAAGTCTCCAGGTGAGGCAGATGTGGCCTCTATACGGACACCTCACTGTCCTCGGGGGCCTGGAAAGAGCAGTCCTTGCAGCCCCCAAGGCCAGGGTCCCCGGGCCCAGGGTGCTCTGTGGCCTGACCTCAGCAGATGTCCGAGGGGCTGCTTGCCAGGACCCAGGGCCCGAAGACGCTTTGACCCTCCCCGCCCCCCGCCCATGGACTGTCTAACGGCACTGGTTCCACCCCAGAGAGACCTGGAGCTGGCTCTCCCTTGTCCCCTGGCCACCAGCCTGGGAGACTCTTGGGACACAGGGTCCTGGCTACTCAGTCCCTCACCCTGGTCTCCCCGCGGGCCAGGATGGCTTGGGGCCCGGTGGGAGGACGCTTCCTGGGGACCAGGGCGTATCTGTTCTTCCTATGACCACCCTCAAGTCTGTCTGAGTGTCTAAGTCTGTGGACAGTGGCTTCTCCCAGGGCTTCCCTGGTGCCCACAGGTGGCAGTGGTATGTCCCACCCTGGGGGCCTCTGCAACTGGGGCGGACTTCTCACCCACTTCCTGCCTCCAGCAGACAAACCGTGACTCCCCATGGAGCTTCTGGTCACCTCCTGGGGAGCCAGCCTCACAGGCACATCCACGGGCCCCAGGGACTTTCCGCACTCACTCGCTCACTCGGCAAACATCGGCTGAGCCCCACCATGGCACGGCGCTCGACAGAGGGACTCCAGTCCTGCCGCGCACCCGGGGTCACAGACCGCACCGCAGACACTGGACCTTGTCATTTACTAAAGCGCTTACACCCAAAACGATGGTGTTCCTTGTCCAGGGACCACCGTGGGCCTCCAGAGACCGAGGGCCTCACCCCCAGGGCTAGCCTCTACCCCAAATACAGGCGGCTCCCCCACCACTGGGACCCAAGGGAGTGCACAGGGCAGCGAGGGTTCTGGGGGTCCAGGCAGCTGTGGGGTCAGCCCCGATGCAGAGCCCCCAGAGGAACTGTCCTCCCCCTCCCCAAGGGTCCCCCTGTGGGCCGGGCAGGAGCAGGTTGAGGAGGAAGCACCAGAGCAGATCAGATTCAGGAGGGCCCTGGAATGACCCTGAGCAGAACTGGGGTTCAGGGGCGGGGCCCCCGGAGGAGGGTCGCCTATGGGGGGGGGAGGGCTGGGTGGTGGGTCCTTGGAGGGGCAGTCAAGGTCCTTGCCCCAGGGGGGTCACCCGATGGCCAAGTGTGGCAGCCCGTACAGGACCAGGTTGAGGACGACGCACAGCTGCTCCTGGTCGCTGAGCTGTGGCGGGAGGGACAGCAGTTTGTCCCTGGAGGCCCATGGAGGCTCACCTGAAGGAGAGTGAGACTGCACTCGTGGCCTGTGCAGAGCACTGGGGGCAGCGCGCATGGTGGACGACGGTGAAGACGCGGCCCCGCCGTGGACACGGCCACACATGTACAGCCATGGACACCGAGGCCCACGGCCGGTGGCATCCAGCCAGGGAGGGACCTCGCCAGGCCCGGGCCCGCCTGTCACCTCCACACCACACCACTCCCAGCACCATGGGGCCAGAAGATCCCACCAGCAACTCCTCCTGCTGTCAGCCGGCTGCCACCGCTGACCATGGGGTGTCCCTTCCTTCCAAGGCACATCCACACAGAACAACAGAGGCCACAGGGGCGCCCCTTCCTCTGTCCCCAGAGCAGCTCGTTAGCAGCTCCTCAGACCACTGGCTCTTTTAGGGTCCTCCGCCCTCGCGCACCTGCTGGTGCTCCCTCCCTCCCACACACACTCAACAGCCTTCACTGTCTGGTAACCGTGTTCTGGGCACTGTGCACCACGTCACTTCCAAATTTGAAGCTCCTTTTGTGGGGTATAGTTTGAAGATTTCCTGCTCCCACCCCAGAGAGCACACCTGGGCTTCCAGAACTTGGGCGCTTTGAGCCCTTCTAACGCCGAGTGTGTTTGGCCCTGAGGATCTCATGGGAGGCTGTGCTCTCCGTCGGCACACGCTGAGCCGTGGAAGCGGCCCGGAAACGGCGGGCACCCCAGCCCAGCAGCGCCACTGGGATGCTGGCTGGGAGGTGGCCCGGAATGGCCTGAGCAGCGGTGGGGACGGGGGATAGCTTCTGCTACCGTGGTTCCGCAGCTCACCAGACCCCATGCTCTGAAGGAGACGGACTGCTCTCCCGATCGGCCTGCCAACTGTCAACAGACCTAGGAAGGAAGCATCCCTCAGACTGGTCAGGGCCACCGCCGGCAGGCTTCTGGGGAGGCCCACAGGGCTGCGGACGGGCCTGGGACACCCGCACCCACTCACTTTCCCACAGGATGCTGGCCCGCAGGGCGTTGTCCTGCAGGAATGTCGGCCACTGGTTTGCCAGGATGCCCCTGACCCCCACCAGACTCAGAAGGATGGCAGTCTTGATGGGCTCCTCCAAGGACAGCTGGGACGCGCTGCAGGGGGTTGGCCAAGTCTTGAAACAACCAAGAACACCCTCCCCCCCGCTCCGCCCCTGCC